ACACAGGGCTAGGTCACTATGGCCACCATCCTGATCCCGGGGAAGTCGATTTACCCCCCGAAACCCAACCCACTCCACCCAGCGCCACCTTGGTCGGCACTACCATCACCCATCTAAGGGATCCGGATCATCATACAGGTATAAAACTTTATGCTTCTTGAACTACTCGGTTCTCGACAATGATCAACGTCACAGTCTTATATGACGCGGAAAGCGAAGTAAAACGGAGGCATCCCCAACGTGATCGAATTAATATATTTTCTTGGCAATTTTTATTAATGAACAATATGCAACGAATTTCCTCGCATTTTCAGAATTCTCTTGAGCCTACCTGATGTAGAAAGCGTATTTCATTTTTATGAATTTTAACTTGATGACAAACTATCTAATTTCAATAATACATCTATCATATATCTCTGAGATCTTCTTTCACTGCATGATAAAAGTTCCTCATTTATTTTATATTTCGATCCATATTTCGATCCGTAATTTTTGATCCATTCAATACGGTTACTTACATACATTTTCACTCGCCGATCGGACGTGAGGGTGCGGTGTGGAATAAAACACTACCGGACTGAAAGTGCAGCAGAGTCATTAGGCGGACAGGGAATCAAAATAATTGGCCTAATCACGCTTAACTAGTCGCGATTAGATTTGCATTGCTCGGTTCGTAGCAACAGCCCACGCAACCTTATTTAGCGTTCTTCCGCGTCCAGTTTTGCCTTCGACAGCGCTCGCTTATCGATTCTCAGGTACCATGAAGACCTTTCCGCATAGCTTTCACGCGAATACCTCAACAAAGATATAGACCGGCGAAAGTTAACAATGTCGGACTTTTTCTATGCCAACGGTATGTAATATGTCCCTATTCCGTGACTTGTTTGTAGAGATTCAGAACTGCGACAGCGAGATCAAGATCAAGTTCGAGACGTTGCACACGATGGACTCCTCGGACACGATCGACATAGACAGCCACATGTCAGATCGGGCTAGCGTGAGCTCGAAAAATGCCGCCGACAGCGACAACATGATGATGATAACCCCAGAGCTGCTTGGACTGATGCCGTCGGGAAGCTCCGGCCAGTCGGACTCAGGCGACAACAATTCGAGGGGGCATTCTGGACAGTCCAGCTCGCATCATCACGGTTCGAAGTCGTGGACGCAGGAGGACATGGACGCGGCTCTAGATGCATTGAGGAATCATAATATGAGTCTGACAAAAGCATCGGGTGAGATTTTTCTCTTTAAAATGATATTTAAATCTATCTATTCTGAGTAGGTTAATTAAAGCTCTTTTGTTTGTATTATGAATAAGATTAATTTGTAGTAGGGAGAATAAATTATTGATCCTGTGCGTCGATATAGATTTACATGTAATAATTCTTAAAATATCAAGGAATTAAGAATTGTCTGTGGATAAATATTCAATTCGTATAACACATAATTTATAATGTTTGTAACGTTTTACATAAGATAATGAAATGAGTAAATTCATATTAATGTTTTAGCAACGTTCAATATTCCCTCGACGACTCTGTGGCAACGAGCGCATCGACTGGGCATCGACACGCCCAAGAAGGATGGTCCCACGAAATCCTGGAGCGACGAAAGCTTAAACAACGCTTTAGAAGCTTTACGTACTGGCACTATTTCGGCTAATAAAGCGTCCAAGGCATTCGGCATACCTTCTAGCACATTGTATAAGATCGCGAGGAGGGAAGGCATCAGGCTGGCTGCACCGTTCAATGCAAGTCCCACGACGTGGACGCCCGCCGATCTGGATCGCGCTTTGGAAGCGATAAGATCTGGCCAAACGTCCGTTCAGAGAGCGTCGACAGAATTCGGCATACCCACGGGGACATTGTATGGAAGATGTAAGCGGGAAGGAATCGAACTTAGCAGGAGCAATCCCACGCCATGGAGCGAAGATGCTATGACTGAAGCTCTCGAGGCTGTCAGGTTAGAAATGTTTCTCTTATTTTGCTATAACGTTTATTTACGTTTAACAAAAATCAGATTAAAAAAATCATAAAAATAGATTGATGTATTATAGAGAGGGATTTGATTTAATAAATTTAGTAATCAGATTATATATAAATAAATAAAATTATTTGCAAAAGTGAAGTTTTTTATAATATTTCGTAGTCTTATCGGACATAATGGACCTGAATCTTCCGCATAATGCTATATAATATAAATTTCCAATGCAATTTGATCCGGATATGAAAATGATTACATTACAAATGTTGCTCCTGAATTCGCGATTTCAGATTAGGGCACATGAGCATCAATCAAGCAGCGATCCATTACAATCTGCCGTATTCGTCATTGTACGGGCGTTTCAAGAGAGGCAAATACGAAGAACCCGTCGTCGGCGACATTTCGCAGGATGGCAGCAGTCCACACTTTCATCAGAGTCCCAATCAGAATCACTCGTCCGCCCTTCCAGATCAAATGCCTTATCCGGGCAGCTGAAACTTACCTCTTTACTAGAGTATTAAGTTAGCTTAAGCTCCGAACTTTTCGATTCGTCGCTGCAGCTCCTCAAATTCTTTAACAAACACGCGAAGGAAGAAATTCCAAGAGATTAGAAACCGATCGGGGAGAATGCCATTATAAAAACACATATTATAATAGCAGAGGGTAAGATTTACCCGCAGTATTAAAGGCGGATCGCCGTAAGCGAGCATTATGTACATTGTATGATTTTTATGTTGGAACAAAAGAAAAAATTTAGGTTATACTGTAATAATTTATAAGAATTATTTATAAAGAGAACATACTGTACAGAGACCGGGGGATACCGCTCCCCAACGAAAACTACTTTTAGCACCTAAGTCAGTTAACGATGAGACGATGGATGAGAATACATATTATGACGGACGACAGTATCCTGTTAATTGAAATCACGTCGTAACAGATAGGTAACATCGTTCGTTTAATTATTATTATGTTGCAATTAATCCATTATAGGATTTATAGCAACGACATCCGAAGATGCTTTCGAGACTCGAATCTGTATCTTCGTAAGATAACACTGAATTATCTCTCATTCATGGTTCTCGGATCGAAGAGAATTGTTTGCATTATGATTTCGCATAACGAGGATTCTTCGTGAACATATGTCGATACAGAGAGAGAATGTATACATATAGTTTAGTGCTATCAACACAAAAATTTACATAATGACGAAAATGGCGTTATAATATGTGCGAATGGCTAAAATAAGGTGATAAAAGCATAAAATTTATTGCAATTTAAAGGATATTATTTTATTGTTTCTCGATGTTTTGTTTTTCTTTATTTTATACGAAATTTGCAAGCATGTTCTGTTTATCTCCGTTGTGTCAAATTATATATTTTTTAATCAATTTCAAACTAAAATAGCTTACGACTGTTGGCTGTTCTAATATCTCTATTTCGATAATAACTTACATGTGCGCTAATATTTTAAATGTTATATTCCGCGTAATAGACTGATAATGAGTAGAATCTTTATTGATTTTTTATTTAAGTTTTTTATTTTATTGTTAAAGACACAAAAAGCATTTTTTTAAGAAAGAAGTTTTTCCATGAAATGGAAAAACAGTAAGTATTTATGAGTAGGTACAGCTTTCACCGGTTTCTTAGAAAAATTTAAGATTCCCTCTCAGCTCAACTGCCACTTGTATAAATATGTTACACACATTAATTTATCATGCTCACACTTATTATATTACATAAAAGTATACATATAGATATATGCTACTTATATAAATATATATATATATATATATATATATATGTACAGTTTATATATATTTTAAATTAAAAAGTAATGCAATCAAAGATATGCGTATAATATTGTATAATATAAGTCTCTAATACTTTATTCCTTTATTTCCCCTTTTAGTTTCTATATTTGATAAGACAATTCTGTAAAAATCTCAAAAATGAAGATTTTATGCGCAACAACTAATAAACAGAGCACATTTGATTATTATAGAAATAAAAATATATAAAGTTTGCTCAAAATTATATTTATTATAAATAAAAATTGGAATATCTCATGAAATTTTATCTTTATATATTATAAAGTAAATGTATTTTAGAATTTATTCAATTACAAAAAAGTATATGTGCATATTCATTCCTAAAATGTTTTGTTTCAAATAGATATTTCCATTGTGTACCTTTTGGATAAGACCACCTCACAATACATTTGTCTTTAAGTTTAGTTGAGAAACAAGGATGTTTAGATGGCATATAACAAGCGTTCTGAATATGTATAGGATTCTCAAAGTATCCATGCTGATGGTTCATAAATTTTATAATACGATTTTCAGTGAATTGGTTTAAGCAGACGAAGTCCCACATTTGAAGGTGTTGAGTCATCTCGCTCAAGCCCATTCCATTAGCGCATGCCCATATCATCGATATATCCATTATCTATAAATAAAGAAATTTGCAGATCTCATTTCGTTTCACTAAATAAAGATCGATCTCAAGTTCGACACCCATAAAAATATATTTTAAAATATTGAGATCTAAAAATTATAAAATTTTGCTGTTTATATTATTATTATTACTTTTATTAGATTGTTGAGCTATTTTTAGCATTTTTAGCTTTTTTCAAGCGTCGCCACTTAATCTTTTCGGTCTCATCTAGAATATCCGAATTATTTTCCGATAGTTATCGTATTTTAATTAATTATTAATCGTATTTTAATTAATTATTAATAGATTTCAGACTTCATATATATTCGAAGTTTTATATTCGCATTTTCCATATATCGTATCTTTCTAGAATATTTTAAGAATTATATTACAAACAGAAAGAATAGAAAGATTCTCACTTGCGGTATTACTTGTTCGTTATATAATTTTAACATTTTATTTAATAAATATAATATATATTAAATTATAATTACACAGCCGAATCTCTCTATTTTAAAGTCGTCGGGAAGATCGAATTCTCTCCCCGCATTTTTAAAATCATCTCTCAATTCTCATTCTTATAGCACATGCGCAGAATTTATTCTCATCTCGACTAGTCATCTGTGAACATGGCGTAGAGGTTGGAAAAGTGTTTTTAATAATTTACATTTGCTTTCAAAAAGTGAATAGTATAACACCTTACATATATCATTAATTATTTAGCACAAATTTCAATGGCCGAACAAGAGACTAATTGTATTTTCTGTAAAATTATTAGAAATGAAGAACCTAGTGAAAAGATTTACGAGGTATGTACAAATAGTTAACCTTTAACGCATTTTTGACAGCTAGAAAAAGAAAGCTTTTGAAATGTCAAATAAAGCAGGTTTAAATTTGATTTAATGGCTCTCTTTATAGATATTGTTTCATAAAAACAGAAATATACATACATTTGTACATTTAATATATTATATGTAATACTTCTTTTTATATTTTAGTTGGATATGTATGGAAATAACATACCTTTGTGGTTTTTTATTGTTGTAGGATGATGACATCACATGTATTAAAGATATCAACCCAGCATCAACACATCATTATTTAATATTACCAAATAAACATGTATGCAATGCAAAAACACTTAAACCTGAAGATTCTGATCTTTGTGAGTATTATAGATTTATATATATATATA